AAATAAAGTTATTTAAAATGATTTCCCTCCCGTTTCTTCTGGTCTGTTGTTCTCAAACCCAAAATGGCCGACAGACAGACAGCTCTTCATTTTTAATGGAGGTCTTTTATTTTTTAACAAGCCTTCATTCTTCCTTCATTTAGCCGTATGAGGAAAGGAGACGAGGAAAGGAGATGAGGACACAGACGGAGGAGAAAATCATAAACAAATTACAGGAAAAAAAAATYCCAGCCATGACCGTTTTTCCCATCATACCTCAGGTTTAATGTTTCTGACAGGAAAACCTCAGCTTTTATTTTGAAAACCGATTCTTTTGTCACTTTTCTTCTGGTTTTAGTCAGAGAAACGTTACATGATGGAAAAATATGAACTGGAAATCATTTAATTAAAATAAAGCAGCTGTTCAACAACAAACTAAAGRCATCTGATGACAGATTGTCCTTGAACGCACCACCACAGACAGCCGTTTGCAGACACTCCCTCATGGTGCGTTCAAGAACCCTCAAAGATCTGAGAAACGAAGCTGACCATCAGAACTTTTGTTTTTGAGTCGTGATTTCTTTTTAACACAGATTTATATTTAAGCATCTGGAYATTTACATTTTTTCAATCTGTTCATTAAAAGAAACAAAAAGTTAAATATTGTTCGACTGAATTTATTCTGTTGAGTTTAAAACAGTTTAATTCTGGTTTAACGAGCTTGAACGATCAATTTGTAGCAACTATAAAAAATAAATAAATCTTTGCCAGGTGATCATGAAACTGTGTGTSTTCATTTGTCTGTTAGCAAAATATTTCATRGAACATTGGAAAGATTAAAAAAAAAACATCACTGGAGAAATGTTTGGAGATTCAAGATGGCCGCTACAAAAACACAATAATTCAGTTTTACAGATGGTGAGTTAAATAAATTCTTCCTGTTTTTAAAGTCAAATTGAACAAAGTCTGACTTCTTTTAACTCAGTTTTCAAAACAAATGAAATCTATTTCAAGTCAAACTTTAAAAACTTCATAAATTCTAATTTCAGATTCTTCCGTAAACACCATACTGTGTTTATTTTTGTATTTATAAAAAACACGTTCATTATTAAAGATGTTTCTCTGACCAAACAAAAACAAATATGTGCATATAACGAGA